TAATATAATTTAATAACAACTGCAAATTGTGCAAATAATGTTGCATCTCATTTGATATATTCAACACTAATTCACTTAATCCACCAATGCATTGGGCTAGTGAAATGCAGATTTTGGTAGGGATTAAGTCAATGTATGGAATATTTTAATATATTCTTAATGGATAATGAGACAAAGGCCACGGTGCCAACTCACTTAGGTGACTTTTCTTATTTGTTTACATTTTGGATTATTTATTTAAAATAATTATAGTACTTAGCACTTTATGGTTCTTACTAACTATGATGGAAATGGGCTTTTCAGGTGGGCCTAAATGATATCTCCACCCCAAGAGCAGTTCTTCCTTAATTGGTTTGATGGTCTCTATGAAGAGGGAGGAGGATCCATCAGACCAGCTGGTAAAATAACAAGGAATGGAGATGGTTGTTTCTCACTGTCTATGTCTAGTCTGAATTAGTGTTATTATAGCGAATCCCTGAAGCATAAAGCTTTTTGTCCTTAGAACCTATACCAGGGTTCCTCAACCTCAGCAACTTTAAGATGGGTAGACTTCAACTCCCAGAATTCCCCAGCCAGTGTATGAATTCCCCAGCCAGTCCATCCATCTTAAAGTTGTTAAGGTTGAGGAACCTTGGTCTATACTGTCTGTAGGTTGTCTAGTCTGAATTAGTGTTATTATAGCGAATCCCTGAAGCATAAAGCTTTTTGTCCTTAGAACCTATACCAGGGTTCCTCAACCTCAGCAACTTTAAGATGGGTAGACTTCAACTCCCAGAATTCCCCAGCCAGTGTATGAATTCCCCAGCCAGTCCATCCATCTTAAAGTTGTTAAGGTTGAGGAACCTTGGTCTATACTGTCTGTAGGTGTTCCTATTTGTCCATATAATGGTCTAATCCCTTTGAAAGATCTACCAAAATCTCAGCATCAGCTATATCCTGTGGCAATGACTTTCAACCTTCTTAGATCAAGGGCTTAATTCAAGGATCTGTTGCTTCAGTCCTACTAATGGTGGGCACAAGATGGCACAGGGTTTTTACTATTCTGTTCTAGGGAGGGGAGGGGAAGGGAGCAACATTCTAAAGGGTTTTTACAAAGGCACTGATTTTTCTGCGGTCATGAAAAATTGCTAAAGAAAAGCCAGTTACAGAGAAAAGCTGGTTAAAAATGGAGGAGAAGGGCTTTTGACTGATTTATTATTTCCCAGGTTAATTGCAGGCAGGAACCTTTCATTAAAGTAATGCTATGTTAACTGTCTGCATTCAACTGTCAACAACAAGAGCAATCCCCCTCCTTTTCTGCCCGCGGGATGGGAGATTGCTTGCAAACCAACCAGTCACTCAGGTTTATTGGATAAGAAAATTAAATGCAGGAAAGAAAAATAAGGGAGGCAACAGCAAGGAATATATTGCGAAAGGGAAATCTGGCTGGTTCACAGGAGTTCCTGAGCCATTTCATCACCAACAGGGAAGATTTTGCTGGGTGCTCATGCTGGACAATCAACACATACAGTATAATTGCTGAAAAGAACATCTCAGCAAGCCAGCTTTCTAGGAGATGAATTCACCTATTGCTTTGACTATCAGGATAAATGAGAATAGATCTTGATTAAGTCTAGCTGGGCCTCCTGATTCCTTAGGATTTTAAGCAAATTGTGCTTTTTGTTTATTTTAAGCAATAAAGAGTTCTCAGAGTCCTCTCCAATCACAACAGCGGAAAAACAGTAGCACAGTTTCCTGTCATTTTAAGCACAAAAACTATGAAACAAACCCTAAATGAGACTTAACACACTTTAAAAACAAAGAAATACAGTATCTATCCTTTCCTTCCATCAACAAACTGGGGGTGCAGGTGGGGGTGCAGGTGGGGATGGGGCAGAAAATCCTGATCCCAACCAAGATGTATGACAAGCCCTATTCAGTACCCACTTTGCTGTTATGAAGCCTGTTGTGGCCTGGTTGGCTAAATGCAAACAAATGAATGCCAAGGAATTATTTAATCAACAATGGGAAGAAAAAAAGTATAACTTGCATTTTGCTGAGGAGGAATACTAGAAATAGGCTTTCCTTACTCTTGTTCTCTTCCTCTCCTCTATTTTTGCTAATTTACGGATATTTTGATAGAACCATTTTATGCATGCACAATGTAGCACACATTTATACATACATGTACAGGAAATAGTGCTAGACACTTGTATTCTAAGTATTAAATCTGGATTGCCTAGCCTTGGTGATATTCCTCCAGATCGGATTTGGTTAGCTGAGTGGGGAAAAAAATTGGTGAGTTTCTTAGGGTTTGTCGACAACAGCTTTTCAAATCACAGGTTGCCCACACATAGTCACTTTTCTTTGTGCATCTGTTGAGGGAATAAGCCTTCAGCAGGAAGTCAGACTTGTCTGGGGATTAAATTTGGGAACGAAATTCAGACTGATGGATAGATTATTGTATTTTTAGGACTATGGGCATGAGCATAAACAGAAGACCCTAATAATACAATCTGTGATGAAATAAACATAAATAATGGACTAGAAGTGATTCCACTTGCTGCCTGAAATCCAAATATAATTGAATTGCTACAGGATATGTTGGGGAATTGTAATGTGAAGTCACTGATTAGGATTTATTCATTGTCCTGTAGAATTTAAATAATTAGATTGCTGCCATGGTTGGCTTGAAATGTTGACAACATGTGCATCATGAAATCATTGTACGAAGATGTGACTTAGTACTTGTGTCATGATGCCTAAAACAAATATCTAAATCACATCATTAGCATAATGATATAAAGAGATCATGAAGTGTGTGTCATCATTTGCCACCCCTTCCTCCTCCCTGCAGATGCCATGAAGGGAATGCAAATCAGAGCTCCGTACCACTTGTGTCATCTTACAGCACTATCTGTTTTTGGCAGCTGAGCCTATTTAGTTCTGTTTCAACTGCAGTATTTTGGTAATCACGTTCAATGTGAGTTTCCATGTGACTGGGCCATCTTCTCATTTGAATGTCGGCTTGCCTCAACAATTCTGTCTCCTAGGATAATACCAACAAGCCATCTTTTCAGGGCAATAAAGAAATGTTGGTGTGACTGTTTAGCAGCTCCTCCTCACCATTTTGTGAATAACCAGATATATATTAAAAAAAAAGGGGGGGGAGGGATGGCAGGGAATTTCCATAATTCTGGGATGTACCCTTTTAATGATTAACTGGCAGAAACACTGCTTAGCATTTTCAGCATTTTGATTCTAGTTTCAATCTGATGTATAGAATGGGAAGTAGAAACAGATTCAATATAAATGTTCTTCAATCACTTCTGGTAGCACTGATTGAAGACTTGCAGGTGTTGAAGAAAGATTCACTAGATAACTGACTGTGACAGTTTGCTTGTTTTTTCATTGCTTGATGTTTGAATTGTATAGAAAATATTTAGGAGTAATTTCCACCTTCTCTAATGAGAAGGTGTCTGAAAAGCCCATTTCCATCACAGTCAGTAAGAACCATAAAGTGCTAACTGTCCCCTACTGTATCACGGGGACAATACCTTCTGGCAGTAAGACTCACACTAGTTAAGGAAAAAAGGGGGGTATTTAAAAAGCAACATCTTGTGTCTTCTGCCATCTGTTTTGTGGCTACAGTTTCTGGTGATGTGTAAGTGGTTATCGTTTATACTGGTGATAAATATCTTATTACATTCCCTGCTCTGACCCTTAAAAGCTGTCAAGCAATCACAATCTGAATGTATCCTGCCTGTATTTTGTCAGGCACCAGTGAAAGCTTGGAGATACTGTAGACGTGCTTCAGATATAACTGCAAAGTTTAGATGGCTGGCATCGATGCCCTCGCTGGCCTTCCCTCCTTGAGGGAATCTGCACTTTTCTCAGTGCTTATTCTCTTGGACTATTCCTCTGGTTGCCATCTTTGGAAATGCCTAAAAGGAGGAGGCCAGGTGAAACAGTGACATATAAGAAGAGGTACAGTCTCTTCTCCCATCCAAGAATAGGTTACAGAGAGTCCTGGTTCCAATCCCAACCTTAGGACTGGGAAGGACTCCTGTCTGAAAGCAGAAGTGCTGCTGTCAATCCTTACTAGGCTAGACAGGATCAACCATCTGATTTATTGGAAGGATTTATTGGAAGGAGCCCAGCCTCTAATCTGCAGTAGCCTTTCAAAAATAGAAGTCATTATCTGATGCCAGGTGATGGGGAAACAGGCATTCTCCCAAATCACAAATGTAGCAGCAGTGGCTCATCCTCATCACCGCCATCCATTTGTCAGCAACAGAGGAAGGGGCTTCAGGAATCAACCTCCCCGAAATTGACACGAAATTGACTTCCTTGCACGTGGCTTTCTGTGATTAAATGGGGCAGGGTTAACTTGCCAAAGGAGGGTTTTGTTTCTTTCTTCTTCCTCTCCCGCGCTCTCCCGCGCTCACCCCTTCTGCCTGCACAGCCGTGGAGAAACCCGAGGCAGGAAAAACAGGTTCTAAGCAGGGAGTTGCCCCCGAAAATCCAGGGCGCCTTGGCCCGAAAGCTGAGCTGAATTCAAACCCGTCCCTAGCCCGGGCACCAGAGAATGGCTGCCTTTGTGCGCAGGCTGGGTCACGTCCCACCCTCGCAGGGTGCCTTTTGCAAGGTGCTGCTAATAGACAAATTACAGTTCCAGCCTGTCAAGGTAGATAAGAGACCATGTGATGCAGGCAGCCCAGCAGAAGACGGGTGGCATCGCAGGGTGAAGGTGCGCTGCGAGGCGCAGGGCGGGCGGGCGGGCGGGCGAGCAAGCGAACTAGCCAGCCAGCATCATCTGCGAGGGGGGCTTCGAGGGGCTTCTCGCTGCTACCGGGAGGCCAGCAAAGTTTTCCTGAAAAAAACCCAGTCAATCGGTAGGCAAGACCAGCGTCCGCCACGGTCGAAGCCAGTAGGAGAGAGACCACAAGCAGCATGTCCTTTAGCCGAAAGAACTGGTCCGCGCTGTCC